TTGCCTCCCAACAAGCGCTTTATTTTAAGTATGTAGCTAAATGTCACAGAAACGTGGTGGTCAGATCACTAGTTCCTTCAGAGTCAGTGACTCGCGTGCACTAAACTTCCTTTGGAATGACTTTAGTAGATACTTCTTGACCTTAAGCACACAACCCCTGCCCTCTAGTTCAATGTCCACATTACCGTTTTGAAAAACCTGTTTAACCATATAAGGTCCTTTCCACTGAGACTCTTGACTCCCTGGTATTAACTTGAAACTGGAATTTAACAACCACACCTTTCTACCAAGCTATATTTTCTTAAAATTTGGGCTGCCTGACAAATTGTCATGTTTTTTTTTAATGTTAATCAGCTAGACATTATGCTGCACACTTTGTTGTAGCATTTTAGGACTTATGCAATCATGAATCAAAATTTGAGGCTTTATGGACAAATGGTCAGTTAATGATTTGGTCATAAACTCGGCACTAGGTAAACCATCTAATGCATCCACACGCATGCATTCTAGCTTATCACCCTAATGTTTGCTTGCTTCAAACAACATAAAAACAACTGTTTGATCTTTGACCCAAAATGTTAGTGTTCCGGCTTCAACATCAATAAGAGTCCGGGTTGTTGCTAGGAATGGGCGGCCCAAAATGATGGGTGTTGTCAAATCCTCATCCATGTCCAACATCATAAAATCAGCTGGTAAATATAATTTGTCAACCTTCACAATAACATCTTCAATGATCCTTCTAGGATAGGTAATTGAACGGTCAGCCAATTGAATAATGTTGGAGGTTGGTTTCAGCTCTCCTTCACCTAAACGTTTAAAAACAGAATAAGGCATTAAGTTTACACTAGCACCTAAATCAATTAAAGCACTACTAAAATCACAATTTCCAATGGTGCAAGAGATAGTAAAACTCCATGGATCTTTTTTCTTTGGAGGCAATTTATGTAATAAGACCGCACTGCATTGTTCTGTTAGAATCACTTTTTCAGAATCCACAAGCTTATTTTTCTTTGTACAAACGTCCTTAAAAAACTTGGCATAAGATGAAATGTTCTTGATTGCATCAATTAATGGAAGATTAATGTGAACTTTAGACAAAATCTTCATAAAATCTGTTAATTGTTGATCTTTAGCTTTAGGCTTCAACCTTTCGGGATAAGGCTTTGGAGGCACATAAACGCGTTTTGCAATTTTTGTGGTATTTTTGGATCTGTCTTGGGGCTGCCCAAAATCTGTAGAAATTGCAGAATCTGCAAAAGTATCAGATTTAGATTTGGGCAATTCTGCTGCCTGCGAATTTCCAGCATAATTTTCATGTTTGTTGTCGTAACTTTGCCAGATCGTAAAGTCCGTATAGCGTTGCATTCTTCTCGTCCTCTTGGATTAGGTACTGTTTGACTAGGAAATGTACCTGGTGCTCTTTCTGAAACCTGCAACGCTATCTGCCCAATTTGTTGTTCCATATTTTTCATTGGTGCATGCATATTTTGGATTTCTTGATTAGTCTGTTCAAATCTTGCATTTGTAGTTGTTGCTAATTTTTCAATTGCAATTTCCCACGCCACCTTAGGTGCAGTAGGTTACTGTAATTGTTGTTGAAATTGTGGCCTTGCAAGCTGATCTCTATTCCACTTTAAATTAGGATGATATCTCCAACTCGGATTGTAAAATTTTGAATATGGGTCATTTCGGGAACGCTGAAAATTATTAAATGAATTAACTTGCTCCGCTGTAAACTTTGGATAAGCATCTTTACGTGGACAGCTCAAAAAATCATGGGTTGTCATGCTGCAAATGCTGCAGGCAGTTAGTAAGGGTTGTACAGCAACCTGTGAACCCGAAATTCTTTGTAATAACATGTCAAATTTTGCATTAAATCTTTCAAGCTTTTTCTCCTTTTTTTCAATTTGTGCCAACATATATGGAGAACCATTAGACATCTCAAAAACAGATCTAGAGTGGGGCTGCTCAATTGCCCATTGTTGTGTATTTGCTGCCATTTTTTCAAATAATAAATAAGCCTCTTGTGCTGTTTTATCCTTGTACGAACTTCCGCATGACACGTTGACAAGAGTTTTTGTTGTCATATTTAACCCTCTGAAAAATATATGCATTTGATCAGTACTGTTAATACCATAATGTGGACATTTTCTAATCAACTCCTTGAACCGTTCCCACGCCTCATGAAACTCTTCATTTGGTTTTTGGGCAAAAGATAAAATCTGAGTTCTCATGTCAAAAGTCTTTGAAGCTGGATAATACTTGTTTAATTTTTTTTCACTGAGTTGGGCCCAAGTACTATGGACGTGTAAGGAGCCATCTCCTTGCTTGATCTTTCAGAGTGTATGGAAATAAACGGAGCTTAATAGATTCCGCTGAAAATCCTCTCACCAAATATTCTTACAACCCATTACAAATTATGCAATACGCATGTTAGGATCGTCAATTGAGAACCCATGAAATGTAGGGAGAATATTCAACATGTGTTGTTTTATTTCGAATGTAGACCCTTCCTCCACTGCTGGATAAGTAATGCAACTTGGTATATTAATGTTGTGAGCTGTTAGTGAATCACCTGGGGGCTGACCAGCCTCTGGAATAACAAACGCCATTTTTTATTTGCTGTGCAGGTCCCCAGAAAATAAAGATTGTAGAAAAGTTTCCTACAATGAAGGAACCCACTGCAAATTTTGTTCCTTGCGTCTTCTACTCAACGTTTGAACAGGTACTGACCATGCACAGATTGTAATTTGCACTGCGCTGCTGTGATCTATAAAAATAAAATAAAAACGAAAATTAATTTAAATTTTTTTTTATTTGGTATAAATAGCAATAACTAACTGAAAATTTGATTAGAACGAATTACTTTAAATAATCCCCGGCAACGGCGCCATTTTCTTGATAGGGATTTTACTACACACGTAAATGGGCTACAAACTCCTATAATACTTGCAAGAATGACAAGGTTGTTGTAGTATAAACGGATCTCGTAAGGTCATTCTCCACATAGATTATTAAATAATTCGAAACAAACCAAATTTCAATTAATTATTGTAAAGTTGAAGTTGAGATGATTGATTTTATAACATACTTAAATTAAAAAACGAATTTAATTAATAAAAGTAAACTAATCTGCAATATTAAAGATGAAAGGAAAGGAAATAGTTTTGGAGAAATCAAATTAAGAAAGCATTAGGGTTCCACCATCACCTAGCAATCCTATGAACTTTTACCAATTACTTATGATCTACACATGCCACTTTGAAGGTTAGATTTTCCTAATTCATATTCTACTTGGAACCTCCAACATAGAACATATATCTAACATGCAACATGCCCAGACGTTCGGATCAAATCTAAACATGAAAGACTCATTATGCTTTATGAAAACCCTTTGAAAAACCTTGCAACCCTTAAGACGTGATGTTCATCCTAAGTGAAATTACAATTATTAATCACAAGAAGCCAGCGTCAATTTCAAGGAACCTTCCGACCAAAATTGCATCAAATTACTTTTTAAAAGATCCTAATGGTGATCAGACATTAAGACAATTAGATGTTTTTATCCCGGTGATTAACAATTCAAAGTATGCATGCAATCAATCATAAGCAATTAAATAAAAATCACATATTCATGCTAAGGCTTAAGGCTTCGCCCTAGCAAAAGAAATTAGTTACGCATATTCATAATTAAAATCATAGAAAATATTATTAAGAAAATGATTGAAAACACCTTAAAGTAGAAAATCTCCAAGAACCTTACCAATTCTCTCTGTCTCCAAAGTTGCATAAAAGAAAGCGTAGCCCAAAACAAAGAATGGCAAAGCAATATATTTGCTAAGCCATCCACAAACCCTAAAACATAGGTCTCTAATTCCAATTAGGAAACTAAGAAAAATAATAAAATATCTTAGAAAATAAAACCCTAATTAAACTAGGTGAATCTGCCAAGTACTTGTCCAGCCACGTTTTAGCCTCAAATCTCCTCCAAATCTGGCCCAAGATAGCTTGTTTTAAAGATTAGGACGTTCCGAACACATCTCCAGAAGGCCACGAAACCATCCGAGGTCTCCAAAAACGCAATTTAAGCCCAGAAACGTCATTTTCCAGCACCGCGCGTCGCTCCTTTATTTTATCGCCAGAAAATAACCGCTTGATAGAAAAATCTCAAATTTTGATACGATCAAGCTAAGTGACTCATGAACGTCCTCTTTACTCCAAAATTCGTCCATTTGGTCCTGTTTTGCTCTAGAGGAAGTTGAAAGTTCTATATTGAAAATACAATTCAAAGCATCAAAATTCTTTCAAAATATTTACCAAAATATACTAAGAATAGGATAAAATATATAATATAAAATCTACTCATCAATATGTCATGGGTAATATATCAGGCATAAAATTATCAATTATTGCCTACACAACGTATCGACATATTACATACATTTTCAACAATGTCAATGTACGTTAAAGAATCGATGTCCCACCCAAGGAATCTGGTGCATAAGTTTAATTCTGTCAGACAAAAATTCTAGCTAAGGAAATATCATGAAACTTTACTGGTTTTACTACATTTGTCTCTTTTCTTTACTATTTTTGTTAAATTAGTTGTCCTATAATATATAGGCGAATATGAAACCTGGCATGTGAATTTGATGTTGTTTGGCGTAACTCGTTTCAACTACATATCTGCTGGCTGGGCTGCATTTGCAAAGCGAAACTGTTTGACAGGAGATGTTCGCTTGGTTCCACATCAAAGTGCTCCAAACACGACAGGAATTATTCATACGCTGCTGCAATTGATACAACAAATTTGTTAGAGATGAGTAACAACCGTTAATTAGTCCTGCCTGTAATTAGTTATTCTAAGTTGGCTTTGCGTTGTACTATTGGGTTTAAATTCCTGAGCGTGTAATATGTTGTACACAGAATCATTCCGAAAAACAAAAACAAGAATCTTTCAGTCACTTGACAAAGCCACCTAACCAAAATTCAACATAGAAATGGAGGAAGTGCAGGTGGTCATCGTCGGTGCTGGTCCGGCTGGCTTAGCAACCTCAGCATGTCTTAATCATCTTAACATTACAAATGCGGTACTCGAAAGAGAAGATTGCTATGCTTCTCTTTGGAAGAAAAAGTCATATGATCGTTTGAAGCTACACTTAGCAAAGCAATTTTGCGAACTTCCCTATATGCCTTTCCCTTCGGATACACCTACATACGTCCCCAAGAATTTGTTTGTTCAATACTTGGATACTTATGTATCCCATTTCAACATAAACCCTAAGTGCAACCGAAGCGTGAAGTCTGCTTTCTACGATGTGGATTTAGAGAAATGGTATGTCAAGGTCGAGAACACGCTTTCGGGTGCACAAGAAATGTATCTTGGGAAGTTTCTTGTGGTGGCAAGTGGTGAAAATAGCGTAGGTTATATTCCTCAAGTGCGTGGCTTGGATGGGTTCAATGGGCAGGCCATTCATTCAAGCAAGTACGAAAACGGCAAGAAATATGGTGGGAAAAATGTTTTGGTCGTTGGTTCTGGTAATTCAGGCATGGAAATTGCTTATGATTTGTCGAATTCAGGAGCTAATACTTCCATTGTTGTCCGTAGCCCGGTAAAACTTCTGCCTGCCTTTTTCTCCCAAACAAGGACAACTAAAGTTGTTCCTTGTTTTTTAAGATCCTTGAATGTGCACTCAAATTTGTATCGATCATCTTATTTTAAGTACATTAATATTTAAACTTTTGTAAACATCGCAGGTACATGTTCTCAGCAAGGAAATTGTGTTCTTTGGAATGGTTTTGTTAAAACTCCTCCCAGTTACAATAGTCGACAAGGTTGTCGTAGGATTAGGCAAATTGAAGTATGGAAATTTATCCAAGTACGGGATTCAAAAGCCAAAACAGGGACCTTTTTATCTCAAGGCTACTAAGGGTCGATCCCCCACTATCGACGTTGGTTGCATTAAGAAGATTAAAACCAGGGAAATAACGGTAAAATAATTTTTAATGCATAATTTATATCTTCATTCTTTATCTTGCAGATTTATAACATTTACTTATGTTGTTGACAATTCAAATAATTAACTATATACAAAATTTCATCAGGTCTTGCCTTCCATAACAAGCATAGAAGGAAATCTAATCAGATTTGAAAATGGCATCTATAATTGGTACGATGCTATCATATTTGCTACAGGCTACAAAAGCAGCGTTCTAAATTGGCTTAAGGTATGCGTTTATGTCAAATGTTTTCTTAGTATGTACCGAAGAATTGTTACTCTTTATGATATATGCAGTCCAAATAACGTTGTCTATTGTTTTCTTGTGAAGGATGACAACTGCTACTTTAACGACAATGGAATGCCACGAAAGAGGTTCCCAGATCACTGGAAATCAGAAAATGGTCTTTACAGCGCTGGGTTCTCAAGCCGTGGATTGCTTGGCATTGCACATGATGCACATTGTATAGCAAATGACATTAGTTCGTCTTTGAACTTACACTACAAGAAAATGGAATGATTGTGATGGATTATCAAGCGTGATACAGTAACATGGCATTCGTATTACATTCATGAATGTGATACTAACTTGCTGACAAGATATTAAAGTTGAAAGATTTGTAACATTAATTCTTCACATTCTTTGAATTGATTTTTCAGTAAGTTAATTGATTCTTTGCATTTGTTTTTGGTGAATAAAACTTTTGATATGGGGAGAGTAGTTCCGCCAATAAAGTTGTACCTGCACTAAATATTTATGTAATACGAATATACCTGCATTGCATATGATCGATCTTTCTTTTTTAGAATTAGAAATTTTCCTCTTAATTCGCGTACAAATAGAGTTAATTAGCATAGCAGTCCGTTGGGATGTAACTGCTTGTAGTAAGTATTGACTAAATAGGAGAATGCAAGTATTGTCCTTCATCTATTATCAAAGATGAGAAGAATGAAATATCTTATATACAGTAGATATATAGTTGCTCGATGCGCAAGGCCGGCCTTTAGGGCCCAAAATTTGAGGGACACCAAAAATATTTTTTCCGAATATATATAGGAAAAATTAGTATTTGGTTCCTAATTACTAATGTTTATTGATTGAAACATTATTAGTTTTTCAAATTTTGATTCAAGTCTCTATCATTAATGTAATAATGAATTTACATGTCAGTTACATAATTTTTTTTTCAAATAAAAATTAATAATTGATTTAGAATTTTAATACTCACACCTTTATTAAACTCCCAACTAATTTTCCATTCAAAAAATTTCCAAAAATAAATAAAAAATTAGAACAAATTTGTACCCATTAGCTTTTTTAAAATATGTTTTCAAATTTTTAATCTTATATCATTCATGTAATTTTTTTCAAATTTTTAATCTTAAAATATACTCAATCTTAAATATACCAATTTGTTATATGTAAAATATACCATTTTTTATATATAAAATCTATTCAATTTTTTTTTTCTAATCCATTTTTAAACTTATATGGGTACATTTTTTTTCTTTGATTCGATAATGTATCCAACCAAAGTCAAAATAAAAGACTTGTGCAAAGCATGTGGAGTCAAAAAGGTAGGGTAGGGAATTGAGCCATTTATAACCAAACATTACTTTAAAATACAAATATAGCAAAAGATGATTCTAGGAAACTACATAGTTATAAAAATAAAAAATAATAAAAATTGTGTTTCATCACATGTAATAAGTGATGTATACAACTAACATCTACAATAAATTCATTAATATACATAAAATATATACATTATTTGTCATATCAAATAGTATATAAATGTGGTACAAAAATGTAGCCTCACTAATATTTTCTTGAAGCGAAACAAAATGGCTATAATAATAGGGCAATTGGAGAGCCTAGGATAGGGTAAATGGTTGGTACAATGTTATTAAGCTTAACATCTTTTTTTTATTTTTTTATTTTTTTGTGATTTTGAAGAATATACCCATGTTTTGGTACGATAATTTTTTGTTTAATTTTGATGAATGTATCCATGTTAACACACACACACATGCACAATAGTATAATTTATATTCTAAATTTTTTAATCCCACAAATTATGAGTTTTTATTTAAAATCTCATTAATATAAACAACTATAAATTTCAATTTTTAATTTAAAAAATATAGTAACCTACATAAATATAAACTATCACATTAATTTCAGGGACTTCGATAAAAAATTGAAACCAACAAGATTTCAGTTAAAGAATATTCATAACTAGGGATGAGGACCATTGCTTCGTCTTTCGGTGTTGAATGCTTCGAAATTGTTCGTTCTTTAATGCATATTCCAATCCAAGGACAAAATTTCATGTTCCAAGCGATGATTCTTTCAATTTAATTAAAGGATAATTAGTTCTTTAAGAAAAAAGAACAAAGAAAGTCTTCCATATTTTTCAGAATATATGTTTGTGCCATTGTTGTTCGAATTCCAAAACTTCAAAGGAATTTCGAGTTCCAGAATTTCAGTTTAGTTGGTCTATTTGAAATTTCCAATACCCAGCACAACACGGTGTTGGTGACGGTGCCAGACGTCCAGTCCCCCCTTTTCTGGTTTTGCTTCTTGCTTCTGTGCTTCCAGTCAACTTCTAGTTCCAGCGCAAGGCTGCAACCTGTAGTCCCTCTTGCTCATAGGATGCCATCTGGGCAAAGACTTAGATTAAAGCCCAAAATTTTCTTTTTTCAATTTGTGAATGTGGCTTGCCATTGTCTATTGCCCCATTGCCAAATGGGCCAGAATGACTAGACAATCAAACACACATGGGCAGTTTGCACACAGCCCAGAGTGAAGTAGTCTTGCAGACAACCCAAATTAAAAAACTTTTTAAAATTTTTTTTTTCTTTAGTTTTATCAAATTTTTCAACTTGGTTTTTCTTTTTACAAATTAGTTTTAATCTTATAAATTAGTATTAAAAATTAGTTGTAATTTTGTATCAAGACTATAAATCTACAAAAGCAACAACTGCAACAATCTTATGTTGTATTGAGACTGCAAAAGCATCAAAGTTTGACACTTTGAGTGCTACTGGCGAATAGGTAATTTTTATAATATATGCTAAAATTTTAATTGATATGTTGTCCGTTACTAATTTTTTTTATAATGTATGTTAAAATGCTAGTGTTTTTTTTTATTTTGTATTAATACATAATATATGTTTAGAATGAAAATTTTAATTGGAAATTTATGTTATATCAGTGTAGAGTCTCATGACCATGAAAATGGTGGGTATGTAGAGGGAGATGTTTGTGATGAGTCTCATGACTATGAAAATGGTGGTGATGTAGAGGAAAATGTTGGTGTTGATCATACTGGTGTAGAGGAAAATTTTGAATTTCCGGAACTTATATTCCATTTAAACATTTTTTAGCCAAGATTTTGGATGATCTTAATGCAGAAATGAGAGACATACTTGTAGAAAAAAGGCCAATTAGAGAAAACAATCTCACTTATCCTAAGGACAAGCTCTCTAGAAAAAATTTCCCACACTACTATAATCGAAAATTACCAACGGGTAAATTTTGTGATAGGAAATGGCTCGTGTACTCAAAAGAGGTGGATAAAGTCTTTTGCTTTTGTTATAAATTGTTTAAAACAATGGTCTCACAAAGTGAGTTAGCAAGTGAGTTACCAAAAGATGGAATTAATGATTGGAGACATCTTGGTGAGTAGGTTTACCAACATGAAAATAGTAAAAAACATCTCATTAATTTGAAAACTTGGGCTCAGTTTCAAAGTAGATTGTAAAAAAAATCAAACAATTGATAAAGAATTTCAAATGCAAATTAAAAAAAGACATAGCATTGGAAACAAGTTATGCTTAGAATTATAGTTGTTGTGAATTGTCTTGCCATACGCAATTTAGTAGGGGTGGAATTTTTTCCCGAAAATCCCGAACCGTCCCGATCCCGTCCCGAAATTAGCCCGAAAAATTCCCGAATCGAATTTCCCGAAACATTCGGTACCCGAAACCGATCCCGACCCGAAAGTTTCGGTTTGGGATTCGGCCACACCTTTGAAAGCTTTCGGGAATCCCGAACCGAACCGAATATTATATATATATATATATATATATATTTATTTTAATTTTTAATTAGAAATTACTTGAACCGTTGAATTTGTTAAAATCAAATCCAACCGTCCATAGTTAGGTCATTTGTTTGTTAGGTATCAGACTCTCTCAGTCGCTCTCGCTCTCTCACCTCACTGGCCTCACTCACACACACTCTCACTCTCACAGTCACTCTCACAGTCCCCCCGCTCCACTCCTCCGTCGAATCCACGCCGCTCCTCATCGTCCATCACTCCATTGACTCACGCCGCTCCACTCCTCCGTCGAATCCATGCCGGTCCTCGTCGTCGATTGACTCACGCCGCTTCTCCATGGACTGACGCTTCTCCATCGACTCACACTCACACACTCGAATCCGACACCAATCGAGTCCCAAAATCCAGGTTAGTAGGCCTAGAAGCTTTCCCAGTACTTACTGAAAGTACCTGTTCATCATCATGAACTTCTCTTCACGGAATTTGTTGACTGAATTCTCCCTCCTGTACTTACTGAAAGTACCTGTTCATCATATGCAGGGGGAGTAGGGCTTCCACTAGAAGAAGGCCTCGAGGTCTTCCCTGATTGACTTGTGGGGTTCACCGAAGGTGCTACATCATTTCTTCGAGCAGTGTGGGTGGACTGAGATCTTTGGGTAGCTGCTGCACCCTTAGCTGATGATTGCAATTGGGCACCTCTCTTATTTCCTTCTTTCCCAACCTTGCAAGCTTCTTTCCCTCCTTTGCAAGCTTCTCTTCTTTCCAGAGCATTGTAACTAACAGAGCCAACAAAAGTTATATCATCTATACACACAATTTCCCCCTAATTTCTTTGAAATAGCCGAAGGGCCAAGGAACTAGCAAACTGTCTTGAGTTAAATATTTCATCGGTTCGGTCCCGAAGTTTCCCGAAAATCCCGAAACACTTTCGGGAATCCCGAATTTCGGGATTCCAATAGTTTTGGTTCGGTTTCGGGATATAAAATCCCATCCCGAAATGTTTTGGTTTGGGAATCGGGTTCGGGGTTTCGGTTCGGGATCCCGACCCGAACCAGCCCTACAATTTAGCATCTCATGGAACAAATGAAAGACTTTATGAAGACTCTAAAGGCAACTTCTTAGGTTTACGTAAATGATTATGGGGTTTGATCCAATAATGCAATATCATTTTCGACTTATTGACAATAAACATATTCATCATTATTATTTGAGTCATAAAATCCAAAAAGAATTACTAGCTACTGTAAGATCCCACATCTTCCAGGGGTGAGGATCCTATAAGCCTTATATGTATATTCTTATCTCTACCTAGCACGAGGTCTTTTGGGAGCTCACTGGCTTCGGGTTCCATCGGAACTCAGAAGTTAAGCGAGTCTGGGCGAGAGCATTCCTAGGATGGGTGACATTGTAAGATCCCACATCGCCTAGGGGTGACGATCCTGTAAGCCTTATA